CTGTGTGTGTGTGTGTGTGTGTGTGTGTGTGTGTGTGTGTGTGTGTGTGTGTGTTGTGGGATATTTTGATTGCATTCTGACCCTTCTAAGACTTGCCAATAAAGTTAAACTTTGAATCAGGGATAGAGCCAGTGACTAGCTGACCAGAATTAGCCATAGAGAAGCCAGCAATATGGATAGAAAAGATACACAAGAAGGGAAGAACTGGGACTAGAGCTGGACCTTTCCTTTTGGTTCTGGGATGAGGGAAGAGATGCATCTCTTATTATGTCTCCAGCCAAAAAGTAAGATCAGGTAGTTGTCACTCAACCTCTCTGAGCTAGCAAGTTTTTAGCCCAGATTTTGACTCCCAAGTCTTATTGATAAAAAGAACAATAGAGACTTAATTTAAACCTATACTGTGCCCACAGGACTGGAAGCCTCACCAGGCCATGACTGCTGGGCACTGACTGTGGTGTCATGGGGCCAACAACAATAGTTAAAATATCAGTAAATTCATACACAACTGCTAAGCAGACAGAAAAACATAATTTGGCACTCAACATGGGGCACTATATGTAATGAGTTTTTTTCTGTCCCACCAGCCAGCTCCCAAATAATGACATGTAGACTTATTATTAATTATGAAAGCTTGGCTTTTAGTTTAGGCTTTTTTTTTTCAACTATCTCTTATAACTTAAGTTAACCCATATTTTTTATTAATCTACATTCCACCATGTGGCTTTTACCTCTATCCCATTCTGTATGTCCAACTCATTCCACATCTGGCTGGCATCTCTTCTGCATGCTTAGATTTATTCCCAGTTCCTCTCTTTGCCTGGAAGTTTCACCTAGTCTCCCTGACTAGCTATTGGTCATGTAGCTTTATATTAAACCAGTAACAGTGACACATCTTTACACAGTGTAATCAAATATCTCACTCGTGTGTGTGTGTGTGTGTGTGTGTGTTTGTCATTATACATTCATTTATCTGCTATTGGTATAAAACTGACTATAACTTGGCCATTGGAATAATGCTGCAAGAACATGGGTGTATGAACATCTCTGTGTACTCACCTAGATCCCTTTGGACATATACATAGGAGTTATATAGCTGAATCACACATAGAGTAGCTCTATTTTATATTTTGAGAGGACAGTCCATACTGATTTCCATCATGGCTATATTACTTTTAGTGATTATAAATGTCTCTAACATACCTAAGAAGTAAGCAATTGTGTAAATCTCAAGCTGAAGGTGAGCATCCTGTAGGTACCAACAGGCATTCTGTAGGTGTCACTGAGCCATTGATATAGCAGCTACAATTATGGTTCAGTTTCCCTCATCAGATAACTAACAAGTATCTGAACAGTGGGCAGTCTAATCACAGATGGCCCTGGTACCATGGAATGAATATGTTCCCACATGATCCCTATGGTAAAGTCCCAACCTCTGATATGATGGCATTAATAGAAGTACTTGGAGAGGTGATTGTGTCATAAGCATGAATCGTGCATGAACAAGGCCAATACCTTTATAAAAAAGATACATGGAATCTCCCTCATCCCTTCATTCAAGTTAGGTTACAGCAAGATGTCCTAACTAGAAAGCAGGCCCTCACCCACTACTATATATTCCAGAAAAATGAGATCAGTTTGTAAAAGAAATCTGTACTCTCACGTTTACCAAAGCACTATTTATAGTTGCCAAGATATGGTATCAATCTAGATGTCAATGGATAGATAAAGACAATACAGCTACAGATGTAATGGAATATTATTTAATCACATAAAGGAAATCCTGTTGTTTTTGACAGACCAGGTGAACCTGGAAGATGTGAAGCTAAGTAAAATAAACCAGGCCCGGAAATACAAATACCATATGATCTAACTCACAAGTAATACTTTAAGACATACAAACAGTACAGTAATGATTACCAGAGAGGAGGAGGTGAGGCATTGTACAAATTTTAGTCAAAGGATACTAAATTTAGTGAGATAGCAGTAATAAATTCAGAACTATCATACTGCATGGTGACTATAGATAATACTAAAGTATACTTGAAAACTGATTAAAGTAATTTAAATATTCTCATCACCAAAACAGTGAAACTCCTTCCATTAAACATGTGGTTGACCATAAATAAGGACAAGTTCACTTGTGGATTCAGAATTTAAAAAAAAAAATAAATTAAAATTTTAAAATAAGGAACCAAGTATTTGTCCCTTAAAGAAAAGGGGAAGTGTCATGCCCCCTTCCCAGTCAGTCAGGCAGCCATGCTTCCAAATGCTTGTTATTTAAGTTCAACTTTCCCTGTTTTATCATAGTCTAAAACTCTGCTGTTCCGTTATTTTAGAGATAGATAGATAGATAGATAGATAGATAGATAGATAGATAGATAGATGATAGATAGATAGATAGATTTAGTTATTTCCCTCATTTTTTTTCTACCAGTTGAATTTAACTGTTTTCTGTGTTGTCCTATCCTTGGGATCACACACTTGAAGCATTGGATTTTGTTCTGTCTTTTACTAACACCTGCTTGTATATGCCACTCTACTCATTTGTCCCACCACAGCTTCCATCAGCACACATTCTTCTGGTGATATGCTCACATGATGCACAAAGGCAATCATGATGAGATGGTGTCTTGGATCATCAATGCATCTGCATTTGGTCCTCCTTCTAAAAAGCCGTAAGTATTGTTCAAAAAGCATGAGTACCGATTCCAGGTAAATACTAGGCCCTGGGTGCCAAAGACTCATTTTTCCCCTCCAGGAACCTATAATGGGATGCCAAGTGAAACCATTCTCTGAAAAAGAAACTCCCACCATTGATATATCATCAGAAACAAACCTGACCTCCAGCAAAGCATACTGAGGAGCACAGGAGGAAACATTGAAGGACTTAAGATGGATCCATCTTGAATAAGGTTTAAGATAGGTAATAAGATCATGTATGTGAACAGAGCACAATTATACAAATATGTACATATTAATGCATAAAATAAAGATAAAAAGTATGCCAAAATATCAAAATGTTAACTACAATTATCTCTGCATATTAGAATTACAAGTGAGTTTATTTTCTTATGATTTTATATATTTCACAAATCTTCATTGGTGGGCTTTTTAAATATCAGAAATAAGATCTCTTCATTTTAATTGGACTGTTGGTCTTTTTGATGTCTAATTTCTTGAGTTCCTTATATATTCTGGATATCAGTCCTCTGTCAGATGTGGGGTTGGTGAAGATCTTTTCCCATTCTGTAGGCTGTCACTTTGCCTTGTTGACTGTATCCTTTGCTCTACAAAAGCTTCTCAGTTTCAAGAGGTCCCATTGATTGATTATTTCTCTCAGTGCCTGTGCTACTGGTGTTATATTTAGGAAGTGATCTCCTATGCCAATGCGTTCAAGACTACTTCCTACTTTCTCTTCTAGCTGGTTCAGAGTAGCTGGATTTATGTTGAGGTCCTTGATCCACAAGGAATAGGAGACCATGGTAAATGAAGACCACATGAGAAAAGGAAGAAACAAAGTGCTAAAGAGGCCCACAGAAATCCGCAAAGATACCCCCACAAAAGACTGCTGGCAATGGCCGAGAGACAGCCGGGACTGACCTACTCTGGTGATGGGATGGCCAAACACCCTAATAGTTGTGCCAGAAACCCCATCCAAGGACTGAGGAATCTGGATGTAGACATCCACAGCTAGGCCCCCGGGTGGAGCGCTGGGAGTCTAATTAGCGAGAAAGAGGAGGGTTTATATGAGCGAGAATTGTTGAAACCAAGGTTGGATAAAGCACAGGGACAAATAGCCAAATGAATGGAAACACATGAACTATGAACCAAAGGCTGAGGGGCCCCCAACTGGATCAGGCCCTCTGAATAGGCGAGACAGTTGATTGGCTTGATCTGTTTGGGAGGCATCTAGGCAGTGGTACCAGGTCCTGGGCTTGCTGCATGAGTTGGCTGTTTGAAACCTGGGACTTATACAGGGACGCCTGGCTCAGTCTGGGAGGAGGGAACTGGACCTGCCTGTACTGAGTCTATCAGGTCGATCTCAGTCCTCGGGGGTGGCCTTGACCTGGAGGTGGTGGGAATGGGGGTGTGCTGGGGGGAAGGGGAGGGGAGCAGGAAGGGGGAGAACAAGGGAATCTGTGGCTGTTATGTAGAACTGAATAGTATTGTAAAATAAAAGAAAAAATTTTAAAAAAAGATATCTTCATTTTAATCTTAGGTTCCTATTTACTTAAGACACTTTTTATACAAATATTTTTTATAAATACTCTGTCCAAAAAGGAAAAGGGCACCGCTTTGAAGATATCTAACCACCTGTTCCTCGTCACAGCCTCGCCCCACATCTTCACACTTTCGCACAGCCCTCTGACCCAAGTTCACTTTTCTGCATTGTCACATGTGACACCCATGGCCATAAGATATTCCATGAAGTTTTAACTCAAAACAGTTTCTTCTGAAAATTTTCAGCACTTTATTTGACCTTTGCTTGTGACAATCATTTTCTAGCATTTTAAACATGAAAAACAGAACCACAGAATTTGAAATTCAAGGAAAGCATAAACTCAGTTGGCAAAAAAGGTTCCTGAGGCTGAACCCTCCTGATAAAATATTAAAAACAGGCTACAGACTCCATGCAAGATAGCTCTGTTCCTAGTACCCTTTCGTAGAGTAAACTGAGTCCTTGTAGATCCAGGATTAAATATCTTTGCTAGTTGAATGGCAAATTTTATCAGCTAGGAGCCTGACATGTCTTCCCTCCCAGTGAGTTATGCAAATGTCTGCTGATTACATCTGACACAAGAGGCAGTCATGCATTGACGATTTCTTGTTTTTGTATGTCCCCTGTTCTAGCTTGAACCCCCCCCCCCCCGCAAAAGAGAAAGTAGTCCCAAACACTGTTGGGTAAACCAGTGTCCGACACACAGATGAATACTCCATCCAGAGCAGCAAGAACTAACTTTAAATACAACTTACAGCACTGCCTTTTCCTGGAGTTTCCTAGGAAGGTACTTACTTAAATCCTGTCTCTACTCCTGGATTCTTCACTTCTTCGCTTAAATGGCAAATTTTGTATAATGGAAAATACTCCACTTTACGGGCAACCGAAGTGTGCTGATTTCCAAATCCAGTGAGAGATTCATGAACAATTCAGGCAAATTCCTTTGTAGGAAGACTCACCTGGCACATTAGGGATCCACTTAAGACTCCTCAGCTTCTGTTCAACCCACACTTCCTTACAGCATTTTCCAGCACAATATTCCTTCACACATCGAAACCAGGTTTTTAGCAGTGTTCACATGACCACTTCAAGATCACGAACAGCAGTGCAACCTTTTCAAACAGCATTTCTGTTTCTTCATAATCATTCAGTCACATAAAGATTTGATTTAGATCTACCTCCGTGCAGTATGGGAAATGGAAAAGTAAAAATGAACACATAATGTTATTAATGCAATTGAGGTGGAAATGAGAACTTGACATACCCTCAAAACAATGCATCTTTAGCCTCATTCTGATCCTTGGGCTTAAAAGGATCCCTATATTTATAATTGTGAAGGAAAAGAAGAAAATCACTGTGTTCAAAAGGCTAGAATATACTATCAAGTGTTTCCTTAAAGACAATTTTTTTTGGCCTTGCTTCAACTACCTGGGAACAGAACCTTGCTGAAACATGCCAGTCTTTCTCAGATGCCAGTCGGGTTCCAGTAAACCGTCTATTAATGCTTTGACATTTTGTTCTCAGATAAAAGAGCTTCGTGTGCACCAGCTCCCCGGGCTCACCTCTCTTTCTAAAATACTGGCTCTTTCCCCCTTTGTCAAGAAGCCAAATGGTTCACTTCAGGCTAGCGGCTGATTTCCCATTGTTCGACTAAAGTTGCCCTTGCCCATTGTGCCCACAATCTGGACCCCAGAGGGATTTGTCACAGTTCTCCAAACCTCTCTCTCCCTCGGCAGCAATTTCTATTTGATTTTTCCTTTCCTTTAGTTTTATAAAAAGAAAACTTCTCACTTCAACACTTCCTGTCAAATTGTCCTTTGATTAGGAGAGGAGGGAAGGGCCTTACTTTCTAGGAACTCAAGCCATCTTGCTGGTGAACATTTGCTCATTTCTTTTTGCTATTACTCAGGGATGTGGAAATGATACTGTTAAAATGGTGTTGCTCCCCAGACTACATTGGGACATCTTCACCAGGACAAACGTCAATGTAATTCCATCATAAAATGACCCACCTTCTATAACACCTTCAAAGCAAGGAGGATAAACAGTCCTTTAAAAATCTGGAAAGGAAAGCAAAGATGAAACTTTGATCTCAAAGAAATGGTTCAGCTTTCAAGAAACAACTTATATTCAGTGACAGACCACACAGTCTGGAAGTCTTTCTGAGAGGAGAAATGCATGTTCTTAGTCATGCAGCAACAAAATGACAGCTACTGAGTGTTGATAGCTTTCCCTCATCTACACGGTATATATTGGAGATCATATTTAATATGCAAAGCACTCTATGAGGCATGTGGTTCTTTTATCCCTTCTTATTAAAACAAAACATTGTGTCAGTTTCATACATATAGGTTATGTGTTGTAATCATACCACATTGTCTCTCATCCCCTTTACCCTCCCACTGACTGAACCCCCTTCTTCCTCTCAACCAGAGTCTGTCCTACTTTTACATCTTTTGTTTGGTTTGTTGTTGTTGTTGTTGTTGTTGTTGTTGTTGTTGTTGTTGTTCAAGTCTCCTGCAAGGAGCCACCATGACTTTGTATTCGTGTTACAGTGGCCATGTTATATTCTGAAGACAGCATTTCACACCTCCCCCCATCCTCCAACTCTTACACTCGTTCCAACCCTTCTTCCATGATGTTTCCTAAGCTGTGAAAGGGGTTGCTATAGATGTCCCATTCAGAGCTGAGAATTCAACAGTCAATTATTTTCAATAATTCAATATTCTTTAGCCCTTTGACCAGTTATAAGTCTCTGTAATAACCTTTGCCCTATGCAAAAAGAAGCTCCTCTAACTACTACTTTATGGGTACAAACACACACATTTAGAGGGCTCTTTGACCATGTGTTCACTTAGCAACACAGTAGTAGTCATTCTATACGCTACCAGACCATCTCAGAGAGGTTGCCTAATACCCAATGCCACGTAGCAGAGCTGAGATTTATGTAATGGGAAGGCCAGAATGCAAGAAAAACATCAGACAAATTAACTTTATGTTTGACTCTGTGCATTTTCAATCTCTGAGACTTTTGAAAAAAATACAAAAAAGTGAGAATAAAGATCTCATGAGAATCAAATTATTCTTTTTTTTTTACATTTTCAAATTAACTTTTATTTGAAATTACTCTTCCCCACATGAATTTTAGGATCCTATCCGATACAATAACCCACAAAACCAATAACCAACCAATACCAAAATTTCTAACAGCAAGTTATACAATTGTTCTAGGTAATAAATAAAGGTTTTCCTTTAGTGATTAAGGGAATACTTAAGCTTCTGTAAATTTAACATAAAAATCACACTTTAAGTTTATAAGGTTTAACATGTAACTTCAAATATAACAAGTTTTATAGGAATCTACAAGCTTTTAATTCCTAAAAGGTGACTTAATTTTTTAGGTTCAAAGTTACCTTCTTCATATTTTTCTCCTACAGCTTCAAACTTTCTACACTCGACTAATCGCCTGTTCCATGCCACTCCAGACAAACTTGACATGACTGATCTACTTCAAGTGTTATTTATCTTTCCCCAAAGAAGGTTAAAAAGCAGTTTGTTATAACTGAAGATTTCTAATAAAAGGACATCTACTATAATATCCATCATAAAAACTTTCAAAAGATCATTTCTTTCCTCATAGTAAAGGCAGAGAAGAACCACCAAGTCTAACACCGGGCTCCTTTTTACTCAGCTGTTCAAGGACTGAGATGACAGTTACACCTTTAAGAGTGTAACGAAGGGTGGAAAACAGCAACACAACTGGCCACACAATAGATGAAATAAACCAGGTTTTTGTTTTGTTTTTAGGACTAGGAAGCATTGGAAGCTTGGAAATCCAGAAACAAAGGGGGGAGGGGAAAAAGGGGGGTGGGCAGAGAGAACTTGGCCACAACCACTCCATTATTAATAGCATCTTGGGCTATAGGAACGAGATCTTGACCGTGACCTGTATCGACTGTAATAAGGAGAAGGTGACCTTCTTCTGTACCGGTAATCATAATCATCATATCTGTCATAGCCTCGATCATATCCTCTATCATATAAGAATCCCGTCATCTACCACCACCGCCGCCTCCTCCTCCTCCACCACCACTATGAGTCGGTCTGCCCATGTAAATGCCTGGTGTAGGTGTGTGTGATCTCTTGGTGATAGAATAATCCACACGAATTCTTCTACCATCCAGCTCCATCCCATTTGCCCTTTCCATAGCCTCATTAGAGTCATCTATCCTCTCAAAATACACAAAAGCAAATCCACGTGACCTTCCAGTTCGCTGATCATAAACTGCATTGACACCACTCAATGGTCCATATCGAGAGAATACTTCACGAAGATCTCTCTCTGTTGTGTACAAACTGAGGCCAAAGACACCCAGGCAAGTGTTGGGATCTGGATTTGCCCTGCTGCCTGTATGTCTTCCGCGATTAGACATTGGAGAGTGACTCCGGCTTCTTCGTTGATGATACTCTGGCATATAAGATCTACTTCGAGATCGTCTTCTATGAGAGTGGGACCGGGACCTAGTGTAGCGTCTATGAGAATGCCTCCTTGACCTTGACCTGGATTTTGATCTTGATCGAGAATGGGATTCAGAATGTTTGGAAACTCTCGATGGACTATGAGATCCTGACGTGCTCTCTGATTTTACGCAAGCAGGAGTTCCCGTTGGAGATTTTGACTGAGAGCGAGACCCTCTGCCCTCGAAGTTGTTCTCCTCCACATCACTCATGTTGGCCAGGAGTTCCCGAGAACTAAATAAGAGAGACAAGTCTCGGCTCGAGGGCTGACGGCCTAGTCACCCCACTGTCTGCAGTGTGGGGAGGAGGAAGGCGACGGCGACAACGGCCGGTGCGCTCCACTCCCACTAGCTCGCACGCTCCCAAGTTATTCTTCCTGGTGTACTTCCTGAGCCTGTATCTTGTAATACCACACAGCAGGTGAAATATTACACAAAGCTCTTTTTTGCTAATCGTGAACACAGCCTCACTCCCAGACATTATTCTAAAGGATAAGTGAATAAAAGTTAGAGATTTCATGAGTTATTTGTAAGTTATCAAATACAAATACAAAAACTTTGTATTTGAAAACATTTATATGTTTTACCATAACTTGATTCATGTGAGTAATTCTATTCTCTTTAACTCATTCATGTTTCTTACCACACCATTCACACGGTTGTGGTGGTATTGTGTCATTTCATGTATATGGGTACACAGACAAAGGCATCCTGCACTAACCAGCTGGAGAGAAGGCTCAGCGGTCAAAGGCTCAGCTCACAACCAAACACCAAAAGTGCACCGAACTTACAGCAAAAAGGTGCGCACTGGCTGCTAATTGCCTCGGGTTTAGAATCTGTCTTTACTGACAGTGACAAGAAGATGCTGTGGTTGTAAAAAATGCTTTTGGTGCAACCCCAACATTCAGGGACCTTTCACCTATAACTCACTTCTCATCTAACATCACAAAGGGAGGATGACCATTCAAAATACCAAAAATCTGTCCCAAAGCATAAAACAGACATATTGTGGTTGATTTTTACTGAATTTCATAAGGTCTTCCCAGCACCATTTCCCCTCATTAAATAAGCCCTTTCACCTTCAGTGAGAACTGCATCCCTACAAATCAAGGAATTAGGCCCTTCATTTTTAAAAATAATACAAAATTATTTTCCTACATCCTCTTCTTTCCCCTTAAGATTTCTAAGTCAAAATGGTAGTGTCAATACTGCTTGTGTTATCTCTTATTTATCTTCCCCATAGCACTAGGCAACCTTTAATATGAAAATGAATCCACATCTTAAATCACATAGTTTGGAAAAACACAAACAATTAAATTTGAGGAATAAAGGATTTTGAAAAATAGGAACAGGGCCTCTTTCACTTGTAAAGTCTGGTGGCCTGTCACACAACCAAATGAGGGGCCTTTAAAGGTTTAACTGACATCCTGGGAACCTCTGAGTTTAACAGCATAACATTTTGATAAGAAAAGCTATAAACAGATGAGATACATGTGGATTACGTCTCCCTTGAAATTCTCAGGGTTTTAAAATCCAACAGATGATGTGCTTTGAGCTTTCAAACTCAATGACCCTGAACAGAGATGGGCTCTCCCTCACCTCGGATTAGGAACCGGCCTGGAAACACTAGTCACATTTCACAGCAGCTCAGTGGCTCAGGAAACATAAACAGAGCTGATGCTCCAAATCCACAGTGTGTGTTCAGACTTGTAATCCAAGCCCAAGGGACATATGAGAAGGGTGGGTAAGAAGGGAGCAAGGGAGGCCAGTGAAGCAGAAATGGCCCAGAGCACAGAGTTTATTACACTCCCAAGTCAACAATTCCTTCCTGTAAATTCCTTGCACATTAAAGCAATATCAATTAATCTGACTAGCCCATAAGGCAGAGTATCATCACTTATATTAAATAGACATAAATAACACGTTGATTAAAATGGGATATATTTGTATATGAAGCCCCTTTGAACACACCACATTATTAAAGTGTCATTTAGGAAATAAAGGCAGAAATTTCATTAAGGGTTTTTTTTTTTTTTTTTTTTTTTTTTATTCTACAGGATTCTTTTTTCTTTTTTTTTTTTTTTTTTTTTTTTTTTTTTTATGAAAGTGAATCCTTGGGAACTGGAGGATACAAAACAGTGACCTGAAAACAAGCCAGCAGCATGGGAAGCTGCATACAGAAATACTTAAGATGGAGTATTTCTGTGCTTCACTCCAATGGTGCCACTATGATAAGGGCATGGTTGCCATAGACTTAAAAGTGCATAGGACTTAGTACTGTCGGATAAACAAGTATTCTTCACAGTCTCCTCTGATCCAGGTGCTATACAGCCATACTACATCTCTGATCTCTTTTTATCCTACAAGCTCTGTGAAGTAAGCAGCAGGGCCGGCCTTGTGTATAAACAAAAGCCCAGGATTTGTGGAGTTCAAATCATACATGTATCTCAAGACTGTCCAGAGGAATAAAAACAACACATAAAATGTTCTTATCGGGACAAACAATGTATAAATGTAAATACAATACTGTAAGTCTTTGTGGCTAGTTTGTGATTTGGTATACCATAGAAAGTGTACCTCTTCCTCTCCTAAAGAGGAGATGAGGGTACAGACACACAGAGAATGTTAATGACAAGGCCAAGAAAGAAGAGAGCCTTCCACCAACAAAGGAGAGGTTTTGGAAGGAACCAACCACCAGTACACTGATCAGTGATTTCTGGCTTCCCAAATTGTGAGGGGGAAACATGTTGTTGTCATTCTTTGTCGTTGCTTAAGTCCCTAGAACTCTAGCACTTTGTGATGGGAGTACCAGAAAATTAGGAAGAGTCAACCAAAATATCACCCCCTATAGTCAACTATCCTTCTCATGATAGACCCTTCACAAAGAAGAGTCAATGCCATGTTTCCAAAATGTGTTTGTTCAAGAACAACAAAGCTAAGTCACAAAGCACCTAACAAACAAGGTAAAATGGAAAAACTGACCCTGGTGGGTTAAAAAGAATGCATGGCAAAGATGCAATATTTTTAGAACGTTTAACTAAATATCCTCAGAGGATTTCAATCTACCATGGAATGAAGGCATCTCAGAGCAGAGAGGTCTCCTGTGGAATTTTGTATCCCCACAAGTCTACCCACACTGCCAACCACCTGTTCATAGAAAGTTGTGGATAATAATTAGTGGATGAAAAGGAAAATAATGTGACATAAAACAATAAAGTAAACAGGTTTTTCTTGGCTACATTCCATAGCACCTTAAAACATGGAAGAAGATTTAGTACCAGAACTGTATTATATTCTGATAACAGATGATATGTGTAGATGGGTCACAAACTCTAAGTCCCACAACCGACAAGCACAGAAACATCTTACCTATGATGAGTGGGTTACATTCCAACTTACTGAAAGACAAAACAATATTAGATGGATGATAACAAATAAGTAGGTAAGTAGATAAGTAGGTTGATTGGCTGACTAATAAATAGATGAAAGACAGCTAGGAAGATAGAGATGAATATTTCCTAGTGCTCCATGTTGGAGTGTGCAATCTTGTAGAAATGGCCCCTGTAATATGAATATGAAGCTGGGGTGGCTCCTTGCAGGAGACTTGAGCCAAACAAAACAAAATAAAGGATGTGAAAGTAGGACAGTTGGCTGAGAGGAAGAAAGGGGTTCACATTACCAAGGGAGCTAGACTAGGTGAATAAAGAGCCCCAAAGATTATCCTGTCTCCGCATCCTTAATGCTGTGATTACAGACACAAGTGCCACACCCCGGTTTTTGTGTAAATGCTGGTGATCTACCTCCGGTTCTCCCGCTTGCAGAGTAACTGCTTTACCAACTGAGCCGTCCCTCCTGCCTATGCACATGGTATCGTCCAGAGCAGAACACCACTCCTGAAAGCTGAGATATAAAGCTGCCTAGAGAGTCTCTTCTGAAAACACTTAAGCTACAAACTCTTATGTAGGATACGGGAAGTTGCATAGTGTCTTTGTTCCTCTTGCATTTATTCCTATTCTTCTGAAGCCAAACCTACACCAGTGTGTGCTCAGCTACAACTGAAGGCACGTACTCAAAAGAAAAGATTTTTAATGACCCGTTTATTTGGAAATGGTTTTAAAACTTCAGTCATATTTCAGAGTAGTTGTTAATATATTGTGGCGACCTTCCCATCCAAACTAGAGGTTAACTACATCTGCCGCTTGTCTCTAGCCTCTTCTTTAGCGTGACTCTGCCTTGTGTTCTGTTTCTTCTGGAATATTGTTCTGTCTTTGTTTTTGCAATTTCTGTAAGTCTTGTTTATAGTCGTCAACACAAACATGTCAACCCAAACCCCATCTCCTCGATTTCCTCTGCTTTCAGTGCCATTGTCAGTGGTTGGTTCCAATATAGATTTTGAAGGTAAGGGTGAGCAAAAGACTGAACATTGTGGAAACTTTTAAGTTAGATACTAAACATCTTTTTCTTAAAAGAATCGTTCACTCTGCATAACTGAAATTCCAGTTTTCCACTTGGTCTCTCTCTCTCTCTCTCTCTCTCTCTCTCTCTCTCTCTCTCTTTCTCTCCCTCCCTCCCTCTTTTATTTCCCCCCATTCCTCCCTCCCTCCCTCCCCCTGTCTGTACAACTCACAGTGCAACTTTAAATTTTTGCTTTCATTTTACTACAGGAAAAAACAAATCTCTGTGAATACTTTCAATTTCAACAACTGATAAATAATAAAATGTGATGTAACCATATAAGAAAATGTTTTTCTGTAATAGAATGAATAAGCACTTGAATATACTAGAACATTATATCGTGAAGGCTTAAAAACTAGCCCCAGAAGGCAGCATGCTGCATAATTCCATTTATATGCAACATCCAGAATAGACAAATCTGCGAAATTAGAAAACAGAAGAGCGGCTGCCTAGGGCTGGAGAAATTGACAGGAATTCCACAAAAAGTATTTGCTAAATGGACACAGAGTTTTGATTATGGGGTGATGAAACATACAAAAATGTATTATGCTGAGGGTTGCATGATCCTACAAATATATGCAAAGCTAAGCAGATAAACTCAATGCTACTTAAATTATTTCTAAATAAATCTGTCATAAAACAAACAAATAGGACAAGGGAAATCATCCTTGTCTAGCACACATGAGTCTCTGGGCTTACCACCACTACAAACAACCAAAAACAAACATGTACTTGCATCCAGCATTTCCTACTAATAGCTACAGTCAATATTTTGTGGTCAGATTATATGCAGTAAGTAAGCCACAGTCCTTACAGAAATGTAGTGTGTAAGTATTTTTATCACCAAGAAGATGACACTATGCGGCCCCTGTATTGACTGATATTTGTGAATTACTCACATCAACAACCTCCACTTGGCACAACGATTATAGAGTACTGCCACCTGTTCTCCACTTATCCCTTGCTGTGACTCCTATTGTTCTGTTCATTCTATTATTAAATAAATCTGTTTCACTTTAAAAACCTGTGTTTTGGCTCATAGTACACAACAACAAGCCCTTGGAAGCTTGGCTCTTCAGGTATCTTCCTAATACAATTTTAATGGACTTTGGCACACACAGGCAAACCACAGGTAGATCATTTCCTCAAAGATTACTGGTTACAGAATTGGTAGCTATAGTAAAATCCCAGAACTTTTAATGATTAAATTTTAAGCTCTTTTTTTCTTCTTTGCCTTTTTATTCTTTTCATTTATTTAAATTTTTTATTTTTGAAAATTTCTACACCAGTTCCACTTCTCACCTATCCAATTTCTCCTATGTATCTCTCATTCCCTCACAAATTTAAGGCCTCTTTTCCTGTTGTTCTCCTACTGTTTCCTAATAATTCCTATATTATTGTTGCTATTATATTATTATCACATATAATCTACCACATCTATTTAGTGTGGCTTTTATGTACATGTGCTTAAGGATGACCACTTGGGGCTGGATAACCGATCAGCCCTGGGGAAGAAAGATGAACTTGCTCTCAACATCCATTGATTTCCTATAGCTCTTCATGTAGCGGCGGGGACCTTGTGAGATCTCCCCCTTTTGTGTTGGGATGTCAACTGATGTTGTCCTTTTAAAGGTCTTTAGGCGACCATGTTGAGATTGAGATTTCATTTGTGTCACTCCCCATTCATGGCTAGAAGACACTATCATGGAGCAGGAGTTCTGGCCCTCTGGCTCCTAAAATCCTTTGCCCCCTTTTTCATGCTTGTTTCTGAGCCTTGTGTATAGGGATTACATTTCTGATGTTGATCATCCCACTTAGTATCTGCATTTTGACCACTTGTGGATCACTGTAACACTCTCCATCTCTCTTTGATGGGGGATGAGAGCTACGCTTATCTATGGGCATAAGTATCTAGAACGCAGTTTAAATTGTGTTGGTTTAGGGAAATGGCAATAGTAGATTCTCTAGGGCCTGTGACCTCTTCAGCCACAAGCAGTAGGCTAGATTTAAAGTACTATACATTAGTTTCCTCCAATGGGTGGGCCTGAAGTTCAATTAGACAGCTGTGGGTTACCCCAAAGATAAAAGTGCCACTGTTGAACCATGGAGAATATCTTGTCAGGCCAGTGATTGCTGTGGTTCATAGGTTGTACAGCTGAATGGGAATATTTATTGCTTTTCTTTTTTTATTGTCTATAAAGGTTTTTGCTTCTTTGTTTTCCTTTATATAATATAATTACATATATTTCATATATTACATTTGTTTTTTTTCACTCTTCAAGAGCCTTTATTTTTCTTTTTTTTAATTTTAATTTTATTTTACAATACAATTCAGTTCTACATATCAGCCACAGATTCCTTTGTTCTCCCTCCTCCCGCCTCCCTCCCCTTCCCCCCAGCTCACCCCCCATTCCCACGTCCTCCAGGGCAAAACCTCCCCCAAGGACTGAGATCAAGCTGGTAGACTCAGTCCAGGCAGGTCCAGTCCCCTCCTCCCAGGCAGAGCCTAGCGACCCTGCATAAGGCCCAGGTTTCAAACAGCCAACTCATGCAATGAGCACAGGACCCGGTCCCACTGCCTGGATGCCTCCCAAACAGATCAAGCCAATCAACTGTCTCACCCATTCAGAGGGCCTGATCCAGTTGGGGGCCCCTCAGCCATTGGTTCATAGTTCATGTGTTTCCATTCATTTGGCTATTTGTCCCTGTGCTTTATCCAACCTTGGTTTCAATAATTCTCGTTCATATAAACCCTCCTCTTTCTCGCCCGGGGCCTAGCCGTGGATCTCTGCATCCAGATCCCTCAGTCGTTGGATGGGGTTTCTAGCACGGCAATTAGGGTGTTTGGCCAGTTTTCACAGTTTACCCAGCACTGCTGTGAGGGCTGGTCCTCTGAAAGGAGGCTTCATAGTCAGTTCCCCAGCTCATTCCTCCAAGTCCTGTGTCTTAAGTGTCTATTGTACTCAGAAGTGTCTTAGATTTGATAAAGGAGTAATATCCAGAGTACACAAAGAACTCAAAAAACAAAGAATCAAAAAAACAAATAACCCAACTTAAACATGGGCTACAGGATCTGGACAGAGAGCTCTCAAAAGAAGAAATAGAAACCGCTAAGAGATATCTTTTAAAGTAGTCATCATACTTAGAAATGAGGAAAATCTAAATTAAACTACTTTGAGATTTCATCTTACCCTAGCCAGAATGGCTAACAGCAATAAAATAGCTGACAACCAATGTTGGTGAGGTTGTGGGGAAGGAGCCTTCATTCACTGTTGACAGAATTACAAACCATGGAACTACTGTGAAAATTGGTATAGAGAATTCTCAAAAAAAAAAAAAAAAAGAAAAGAAAAGAAAAGAAAACTAGTTATATTACCCCTTGGCATATGCCCAAATGATTTTATCTCCTTCTACAGAAATATTTACTCAACCATGTTCATTGCTGCTCTATTCACAACAGCTAGGAAGTGGAAACAACCCAATAGTCCTTCTACTGACAAATTGATAATGAAAATGTGGTACATACACATGGTAGGGTTCTATTCAACTGTAAAAAAAAAAAAAAAAAAGGAAGGAAGGAAAGAGAAGAGAAAAAGAAAAAAGAGAGAGGCAGGGAGGAAGGGAGGAAAGGAGGGAGGGGGAGAGAGAGAGAGAGGGAGGGAGAGAGAGAGAGAGAGAGAGAGAGAGAGAGAGAGATCAAACTTGCAGGTAAGTGAGTGGAACCAGAAAATGTACTGATTGAGGTGACCTAGACC